GCTATATGCTGAATTGTTTCCAGCCACCGGCACTCCGTTCTTTGATCCCCAACCAGATAGGCGTGTGGATCCGAGGGCAGCAAGATGTGAAGTCAACGATTTCATATGCTGTCGTCAAATGGATGGTCACTTCCAGCCAAGTCTAGCACAGGTGAAAAGGACTCAATAGGGCAAACGCTCAGCTGACATACGCAGGATGTGACCGAGCCACCTTAACTGACGTAGCCAAACTAGCTTGTTAAAGGGAACACTTGCATTCCCTAAGACAATGTCTGACTTCACTGCTGCAGATTCATTGCTGTCACCACATAGCAGCAATCTTCTTTAAGCACCATCGTCGAAGGCCGAGAGCCGGTGCATGTCATCTACGCGAATTGGTCACGACTCGCTTCCACATAGTAATACCGCTCGAACGATGGCATTGTAAGCGCGACCTTTACCAGAAAAGAGATATCCCGATGATGCCAGAAGTGTTTCAGGTTGACAGACGCCGACCAAGTTTTGGCGATGCACAAGGAAACTTCCCTCTCAATAGAGTCAACAGCAGACATGCAACTGCTTAGTTAGACAAAGCCATGCACTTGTTCAAGATGTGTACCTTCAACAGTGAGCACGAAAACGGGCGAGTGCCAATCCTGGAGCAGCACTTTACACTTTGACGGAGTGAAGCCCATCCCGTAGTTAGATACCACAATGACCCAACGTTTTAGAATGTTTTGCATACTCTGCGAGTTATTGCCAATTAAGGCGAGATCATTTGCATAATCTAAGTCGGTCGCTCGCTTGCCCGGTAGTAGCCACAGACCAAAATGTTGGTAACCTTCCAGAGCTCTCAGCAAGACGTCTTCAATCGCAAAATGGAAGAAGAAAGGGGACATAGAGCAGCCCTGTAGTACGCCGCTATTGACAGCGAAGGACGACAAAAGCTTGCCATATGGCCTCACTCTGTCTGAGATGTGTATAGTGCACGCTGGATGGCAGTGTACTTTTCTGGACCCCCGTCGCTTAGCAAGCAACGTCAAAGCGCAGGTTGAACAATCGAGTCGAATGCAGCAGAGATGTCTAAGAAAGCAACGATGGAAGGCTTCTGGTAGCGTGAATACTTGATCTACGCACCCAAGATCAAAAGGGAAGATAGCTTGTTCTTCCCGGCGCTGCAATTCACGAATCGGGGATAGTCTATGGAGTAGAATGGATGCCAATGACTTGGAGACAACCGAAATGAGACTAATCCCCTTGTGATAGGTGCGTGAAATGCGAGCACCGTTCTTGAAAATCGGGACTAACTGATGCGCCCCAGGAAGAAAGCACCTTTACTTCACGCTAAATGTGGAAGAACATTGACGGTAGCTGACTGAATATAACTGCGCCTCCATATCTGAGCAGCTCCAGTGGAAGTGAGTCTGAGCCGGCAGCCTTGAATCGTCTTCAGTGTTGAATCGCAAGACAAACTTCTGCTTCACTGGGCGGATCAACTGTGACGACCCAGGGCGGGCAGCTGGGTTCGCAGGGAATACAAGTGTGCCGTGAGGGCCAATTGAAGTGCAAATGAAAGTGTTCGGCGCATCGACCCAAGCGTCTCTGTTGGTTGGAAATCGGCAAACCACCCGCATCGCAAGTACTCTCATGGTCACCAGGCTTTCCGTGGCCAGTGAACCGAATGAACTGCAGGAGCTTGCGAGTACTGCCAAAGAGGGCAACGGCCTCCGTCTCCGAAGCACGCTGAGAGCACCAGGCACGACCACCGCGTAGGCTTTGCTTGAGCTGCCAATTGATAGAACGGCGCAGTTGATTATAGTTGGCATCCGCCGGAATAATCCTGCGACGATCCAATAGATCCAAGGAGCGCGTGGAGATCCAGGCCTTCGTAGGGTGCTGAGTAAAACCACCGACTGACCGCTCGAAAGAGAGCATGGTTCTCTGCATGAATATCCAGTGTTCAGCAACATCTAGCGGTAGGTCGCAACTGAATGCATCGGCCACGGAAGATCGGTAGCTCTGCCGAACCACGAGAGCATGTAGCTCATTCGTATCTACCTTACAGTACTTCGTTTTCGGGATCCTTCGCAACTCACGCAGATGCTTGCACAGACAAAAGCGTGGCCTGCGTTAATAAAAGTGGACCAGATTGATCTAAAATCTTTAACATATATATATATATATATATATATATATATATATATATATATATATACAAACAGCTCACTCGCTCTTCGTGCAACAAATAAGCGACGCCGAACGCGCCCATTGCTAACGCGGTGTTACTACCAGGCATGAGACAAACTGCAAATTGTTGGTGGTACGTAATAAACCTCATTAGATCTGCGATCTATAAGGCCAGATTGAGCAACCGTGCACGAGGGTTGAACATACGGCTGCGTTTTAAATACTGTCCATCAGGACAACTATGATGTTGCGCGGAAGCCACAGATGTCGAAGATTGGAAAAAGCACCTCGAGCATCTGCTATACGGTTTGAGAAACGATCTATTCCACTGGAGCTAATATAACCAATTTCAAGTCAAGTAGAGTCAACTGCCAAGATACTTGCTTTTTTCGACGATTCTATTTGGTCCTAACCAAGGGTCAGTGCAGGAGAGGGTTACTGCTAATCTTAGAGGAGGACTTTAAATTTCGTGGATACAAAGCATAGCCCGAAACGACTGACATCCAGTGCTAATTTGTCCATTGCTCCTTGGCACCTTTGGAAGCTGTCACAGATTAGTGCAATTTCGTCTGTAAACTTCAAATCAAGAAGTCGCTCACCTGAAAGCAGCTCAACACTTTGCAATACGTATCCAGTGAATACCCTTTGTATGCCTTCGTCGATAGCAAAGTTGTGGAGGAAAGATCCCACCAGGCAATCATGTCTTACACCGTTGGAGGTATTAACGGGCGCGAAAGTTTGTCATAAGTCCTCATCCTTCCAGTAGTACGCACATACATCACTCAGAGCACATTCATCAACCGAATCGAAAGCATATTTGATGATATCGAGGAACACGACTAAGGTTGGTCACCGATAAACATGGCAGAGTTCCGAAAATTGACATATGGTGAAGATGTGCTCAATACAGACTGCATTTCATCGAAATCAGACTTGCTCCCCGCGAATCTGACTTTCACTAGCGCCAGACAGTCTATGGAGCGTGGTAGAGGCATACTGAGCAGAGGAAAACGAGATCAGGCTGATCCTTCCATGATTGCCGCATTCGGAACGGGAGCCTCACTTGAAAATTGGGGCTATAATGGTGCGACTCTAGATGGTTGTGACAGTCTCCTACTCCCACTAGTAAGTTATGCAAATTATCCTTAAGAGTAAGTCCCTCGAATTAGAAGAGGACTGGATGAAGTCCATCTGCTCCAGCGGCCCTATTCAATTTCAACCCTCCGATCTCACGTTCGACTTCTGCGCGTGAGGTTGGATTCAAGGGGACTGTCCAGAGAGTTGGGCGATCAATGGTCGATAAAAAGACAACTCTGGTTGACTAACATGCTTTACTTAGGGTTTGGCACCACGCTCCAAGTTTCTGACAAGCCGTGGATTGGCTGCCAACTCTCGTCGCATACACTTTCGGTAATGCTAAGTCCCTTGCTTCCGGTTTACCGTATCAGACGGAATAACTTACGGTGGTTATCAAGATCAGCGGCCATTTCCATCCACACCACGTTTCGCCGTCTCCCTTAAGGCTAGCAAGTGTTCTCGCCATGAGGTCTTTGCGAGTCACATGGTTGTCGATTCCAGCAGAAACAAGTCGGCAAGCACCAAGAAGTTACAGAGACTGCGCAGAGACCCAATGTGCAGGTTGGCGATTTGATTTGCCACATGAAGATGCATGCTGCTAACAATATCTGGCGGATATGCGACCAGGAATCTTCAACTAGGTTCAGTGAGCGATTACTCAATCCGCATGCCAGCGTACTTCGATACACAGTCAGAACACCTCGCTTGGTCAGTTAGTTGAAAGCAGTGTGCTGACCTCACTGTTGTGGACGTCTGCCGAAACGCACCCCCAGGTCGGCACATACGAATGCGTGGTCAGAGTCTCCAATGGTGCTCCATATTGAGCGAAAGCTTTGGGAGCAGCCTCTCCGGCGGTTAGCGACCGCGATGTGATGGAATTGTGTCCATGGCTGATGGGTGCCATGTCACCCACCGATGAATGCTGTTTCGGAAGTTAGTGCCCGCGAGAAATAAATGAGCATCTTCACACAGGTGCAGCAACTGATCATCGTTATCATTACGGAAGCGTACGCCGTATTGGCCGCCCAGATGCAGCCCACCGGTGGATAAATTTTCAACCTGGACCTTCATATCACTCACAAACATCACAGTAACTGTAATCTTTCTGAGACAAATGAGCTCGTTTAGCTGGCGATAGAAATCATGTTTCATGTTGTCAGTGTTACAGTTTGTGGGAGCGTGGGCCGCAATAACGAACAGGCACTGTTTGTTCTCAAGCAACTTCGAAGCTTGGAACGAGTCAGCCAATCTGACCGCTCATATCTGGTTCTTGACTGGGATCCAACTGATCGGGGCAATTTCAGCCCGGAACTCAGAGCAATACCCACATCTAGTTGATGGGCATATAGTTCAGTTGGAATGATCAAGAGGGAGGTAATGAGCTAACGGGAAATACTATAAGCAAGAATACGCTATCCTTGTCTGACTTAAGGGGAAAATCGATGTAAACGGCGAACTCCAGTGGAAAGGTCGCTAGCATTGTTTGGCACCTTACCAATGAACTTCAAGCTAGGCTGGTTCGGCCTTCCCTTGGGACTACAGTCATAGATCCAGACTTTGAATGCGTCTATGAATGGGCTGTCTTCACAGGACACAGTTGACAAAAGTGAGTCCCCAACCGCCTAACTCGATGTTTCGCTAGTAAGTATGGTGAAGCTCTGTTGCCTGGTACATTTCACTACGGATAAACTATGGTAGATAAGTAAGATAAGCAGCGTAGTTCAGCGGGAATAGGCGCTTGGACAAGTGAAACTTACTCGACTGCTCAGGAAGGTCAACACTGAGAGGCTGAGTACCCTTTTCCACTAGCAGGGATGTGACTAACATTTCCTCGCGGTCGGGTGACTTTTTGGAATAACCAGTAACCTCGGTGATTGACGAAACCGCAGACAACTCTGACTGCTGAATGTCTGGAGGCTGAACGTCCTCTGCCTTGACGGAAACGGAGGGTTTGACTTCACCAGACTCAGAAATACTCGTAGGATCGGTGGGATGAGTTTCCACGAACTGATTTTCATCCCCCGCAGCGAATGGTGCGTTCCGGAACACGCGTGGAGCACTTGCACTAGCATGCACAACAGATGTGGCAACATGAGCAAGAGAAAATAGACGAACTTTAGGTGAACGGGACACCGGGCAGAATTTGATACCATTACATTAGTTACATATGTAAAAGGTCTAAATTTCCGTCTGGAAAATCTTTCGATGGGACATAATAAGGGCGTTGAGCAAGAAGTAGTATGGAATTCCAAGAGGAATAGAACCAAATGAACACAGAGTTCGTAGAGACAGAAAAAACCTGTATCACTCGGAATGGTAGGTAGGTTAAGGTATCCACTTATGAGAGGGTAATTTAGTTACCTCGTCTGTATTATAACTAAAAGACTGTTATTGAGGCCGATAGGTAAACTGGTGGATAAACAAAATATCACAGTTCAAGATACGCACCAACGTGTACAGCAAAACCAACCAAACTGTTTAGAACTATCAGAAATTGACGCTTTGTAACGGCTAATATCTCGGAGACCAGATTTGTGTTTTAGCCAGATAATTCCTCAACTGAGCAAAAGTAACCTCTCAAGGTATACTGTGGGCAACGCATCGAGCTTACGAAATCCCGTTGTAGTCACGTTAAAAGCACGTATTTACTAGTGAATCACAGCTCTTTGCTAACAACTGGTCGATCTTGAAATCATAAAGCAGTTATGTAAAAAGCAAAGCGATACGTCTTGAACAATGAACAATGAATTTATACGGGTTAAGAAGCGTTGTTTTACAAGTCCCGTTGGATAGTTTGTAGGGATGTCAACATAACAATAATGATGATAAGGATAGTAAAATAGTTGATAATTTAAAATAAAAATGAGGACTTATCGTTTGCTCCGTTGTAGTCCTGCGATCCTCTTAGATCCACAGCACGTACAGTTAACAACAAATAATTCCATAGTATACTCCAGGTGTGGGATGGGGACGTAGAGTTCAGTAACAAAGTGTAACCGTCCATCCGTCTTTTAAATACTGTTAGTGTCGGTGCAGAAACGACCGATTCTGGGAGAGCATTCCACGGGTGACAGACACGAATGGAAAAGAAATTTCTGCGGCACTCCAGACGACTGTATTGTTCGGCAAGTTTTAATGAGTGGCCTCTTGATCGAGCATATATATTCAACGATAAAGATAGGAAGGGCGAAGTTCAGTAGTCTCCAAATTGGCGCTGTCACATGAAATCGCAGCTACCTTGACATGTCGGGGCTACTGAGATGAACATTTAGCAACGGCCACGGAATGCTAGCCTAGACGTCGACATATTCAGTGCCTAGTTCACTTTCGTGCCGCAATTAACAATCGCAAAGCTTGCCTGAGTCCGTCAAAGTATGTAAGCCTTGCTTAATTCCACCAATGTGACGTACATAAGTGCGTCTCTTTAATGAAATCTGTATTTAATTTAAAATGGTCAGAAAACACTTCCACGAGAAACTGAGTTCACTCGGGCCGAGACATTGTTCTACTAAACAGAAACTATCGACCTCTCCCAATCAGTGATTTTATCTGTTTTTTTAACGACCTCATTAGTCTGTCTGATTGCTTTGATTCATATAGAATTGTACTAGCTTGAGGATGAGTTATTGAAAACATATGTTTGCTCACATCTACTTTGAATTTATTCATTTCACTTACTATCTCGTCGTTTGCCCACATGCGTACAGCGCAATAAACCGTCCCACGTCATCCTTGGTGAACTTGTGATGCTGAATGAAGTAGTTCCCAATTAATCCGTAATTCCGTGACAGGAACGCAATTTGTGTAAACTGACAGAACATGCCCTTAGCAGTGTTAAGTGCTCGCTGATCACTTCAAAATCATCCGTAACTCTTTTATGATGTCTAAAGACTAGTCGCACATACTCCAACTGGGTGGCTGAATAATTAATGCAGCACCCGAATTATGGTCATTCCACCGAATGTGGTTTACTGCATATTCCCGAAAGGCATGAAAGCGTAATCCATTGTTTAAAGTAAGTACCGCAGCTGCGAAAGATTCACCAACCACTTGCTTTAGAATCTGATGCTAATCTTTCACAAATCATATGGTGCTATTGATACCCAGTTTTCTTGCAAATGTTGACGAAAGGTGTACTTCCAACCCAATGAATATATCAAAGGAGCTGATATGGTTTACGAATGATAGGTAGTATCGAGTAACGAAGCCGAGGTTGGAGAGCACATGATAAACGAGTGGTACGCACCTGCAATCCTGAGAAACCGAGTAGGTTTGGCTTATGCGCAAAGAGTCATCGGCAGGAGAAACCGCATCGTGGGTATGTTTATCGTCCGTTGTGGAGCAGACAGTAGACCCAGCCGATCTGTCAAAATCTCCGCCATGTACATCTGTTGCAAACGGTGCGGTACGGCAGCAGTCCAATAAGGTAACTCCGGGGTAATTCATGGAACTCCTAAAAGCTGATTCAGAAACAACTGGCCATTGTGAAGATAGTGATTTCCATGGCACAATGTATACCACTTCACCATGTTCAACAGGTCCTGATGAGCTGAGCGAAGTAACTGGTTTGTCTGTAACGCTGGTTTGGGAATACAATCGGCTTAAAGAGCCAGACTGACGGTCACTGAATGAAGGACCGGCCAGAGTATCAGAAGATTTACTCCTGGTCGGCAGCGAAGGTGCCTTTGCTCCAGCCTCAGTTTGTAAGCACACCAGCTGAAATGAAGCTGGTTCATCAGTCTGTGATCCTATGAAGTGGAGGAAGAGGAAGTGAGTTGTAATAAAATCAGCCTACGCATCTGTCACTTGAGCGAGATGTGAGTGGTTCGGAGAAAAATAAGCCTTGACCGCTCGGTTCATACCTGGCAGCAAGTGGGCACTAACTAGGTAAATACCCAAGCATAGCCATGTGGAGCCTAAGTTGAGCTCCTCCGTTGATTATCGAAATGGGTCGTATCGGCGTTCCCTCACCACAGTCCTCGTACCACAGTGTGGTGCCCTGTCAAGTTTCAGCTAAACTATGAACCAACTGCAAAAATGAAATGATCCAACTCAAGATGGGGGAGCTTCGTTCAAAAGATTATGAGAAACGAACGTGAATGTGTGGAAGCCGGAAGTGGAATTGTCAAACGGTATAAGTATGAGCAATGCGTAGACAGGGTCCTGAGAGAAAATGTGTCAACAGAGACCTACCGATGAGGCGGTAGAACAAGAGGTAAGAACTACTTCACAATCGAATGGTGCACCTCATCTTCTCAAGGGAGTACCTACAATCTAATATCGACACAACCATCACGGTCGTCCAAGAACTCAGCGTTGATCAACACTGATTTATAGAATAACTGGGGTAGCGTTATAAACAGCCCAGTTAAGAGCATTGTTGGACGTAAAATACGTGTCTCTAGCCAACAGTATGGGGGGGGACTTAAGATTTGCTGCTTTATCTACAAATCGCTAGTCATAGTCATCAACATCTCCATTAAACGTCAGCTAAATGTGAGAAACACCTCGGTTATTGTACCAAAGATAAAAGCTATGCAAGCGAGATACTAAACATAAAAAATAGAAACAAAAAATAAGTAATATAAAGCTTATTGTCCTAGTATGTGTAGGATATGAGATCGTGATTGGGGAGGGAAAAGAACCAAGAGCCTGTGATATAAAGAAACTCACAACACAAACGCCACTGAGGTCCGCCCTTCGTCATGTCAACAAGCGTATCCAATCAAGTGTGTTCGTCGTCGTTGGTACCCCAACAAGGACGTAGAGAGAATCCAACCAACGACTACTTCGAAGAACTTCATTCATCTTGGCGCGAACACTATACTGATCTGCTTGATGCTCCATAACGTTGAGTAGACAAAACCGTTTAGGGAATTGTTTCACTTCTATTAACTCAAAACGCAAGCTCTTGGCGAGTACAACGCTGCATATCGACGTCTGCGTGGAGACCATACACAACACCGTATATAAAACTGTCGAACCCCAATCACGCTTATCGTGGTCTGTTGCGGATCAGCCAAAATGGAGCAATGGCAAATGACGCGTATAAAAGCGAATTCTTGAAATACCGCATAGGATGGATATGGTGATAATTATGAACAAAAATAGCCAGTGCCAGTAAATGAACGCGTGAAATACATGACCTACCAAGAGATTTGGAGTAACTCGTGAGCGAGTATTTTTGCCTGAAGTTTAGAAGGGTGATGACACCGTCCATTGTTTGTTGTGCATTAATGTCAACATCTGATAATCATGGGCTATATCACGTAGTGTAAATGTGTGATTATCGTCAAGGCTGTTTTTGAGAAGAGATAATGTGGGGGCATTAATTACGGTTGATGGGAGGGCGTTCCAAGATTGTGACACTCGACATTACAATCGGCTGTACTGCATGGCCAATTTAAACTGACAATCCTTTAGCGATGTGTGTTGATTGAGTTTCAAAAGAGAGTAGTATGCGTGGATGGGTTATTTTTAGGATCTGATACACCATCATGAGAACACCTCGTAGATGCCGTTAACGTCCGTCATACTTTTAGAGGGTTTGCGATCTGAGCGTTTAGGGAAGGCTGGATAAACGTTGGACGTTCTTCGTCACCCTGCGTTGTGCAGTATCGAAAGCGGTGAGATGGTGCTTCAGCCAGCATTGCCAAGCTTGGAGAGCATATTCCGCATGCGGCCTCATGTCAAGCATTTTCGGGAAGTCTGAGGCGTCCAACGTCCCGAACGCTCTAGGAAGAAAACCAAAGTGCTGGTTTGCTTTGTTTGTTGCCTTTTCAAACTGCTTCAAACAACCGAGGTCATCTTCAACAAGCACGTCGAGATCACCTACATGAAAAGCCCGTTGTAGAATTGCTGGTCCTAGACAGTAGTTGTGAATACTCTGATGCCGTATGCAGAGAACTTTGCATTTGGTGGCGTTGAAATGCAGCATGTTCTCGATGGATCATGTTTAAGCTTTGTCCAGGTCATCCTGTAAGGTTGTGTGCTCAATCACGGTAGCATAGTACACTATATTCTTAGATCACTGGCAAATAGCAGACAGTTTGAAGATATCACGCTCACGAGAGCCTTGAAGAAGACGAGGAACAGGCGTGGTCCGAGTACGGAGCCCTGAAGTGCGCCGCATTAAACTTCGATTGGTTCCGACAGGCAGTTGCGAACCCTGACATTCAGGTGTCATAGAACGAGTCGCCTGTCCAGACAAAAAACCAAGTCTCCGATTCCATATTTCTGGAGTTTTTTGCAATAGAATGTGATGGTCCAGGCGATGGAATACCTTTGAGAAATCCAGCTAGGCCGCTGGATCATCATCCAAGCACCATCATCATCAGCATCCACAGATTCAGTATCGCGTGCACCAACGATCAACAGATTAGTCGTACAGGATTGATTTTGGTGAAATCCGTGCTGTTCCGGAACGAGAATTTTGAAATATTCCAAGCACTCCATGAACGCCTCAGCTAAAACGAACTCCATGAGCTTTGAGATCACCGGAAGAAGTGTCATCGGGCGGTAACTTGCTGGTTGTGCACGGGTGCCACTTTTGTAGATTGGACTGACGATCTCGTACTTCTATATCTTGGGGAAGTGCATCTCGTTAAGACATTGTTGAAAGAGAATTACTAGTGGTTCCGCTAAACTCATGACGGCAACCTCCAATACCTTCAGGCGAATGCCGTCTGCACCCGGGGAGCTGAACACG